TGGTGGGGAGGACACGGGGTCAGCCGAGGACGTGGCTCCTTATCCCACCCCCCCAGCCCATTATCTCCCCCCCGGGGGTGTTATAACCCCCCCCCCGGTTATATTGTCCCCCCCCCGGGTGTGTTGTCCCCCCCCCCCCACTGCATTTTCCACCTTGCAGGAATTTGGAGAACGTCCAGGGGGACAAAACGCCCGGCTTCATCCCCGAGGTGCTGGCGCTGCTGCGGGGCTGTGCGAGCAAGGTGGGCACCGTGACCGTGACCCCCCCACCCCAAAAAGGGTTTTAGGATCCAGGGGGGGGGGCACTGAGCTTCTGCAGGACCCCAAATTTTATCTTTTTTGGGGGAGAAAGGAGAGGGATGGGGGAAAGGAGAGGGACCGCTTTGCGCCTCCGTGGCGCACGGGTGGGGTGGAGCGGGGAGAAGGCAGGCTGGGGGGGCTCTGGGCGTGTGGGGGGGGGTTATTAATTATTAATTAATAATTAATTGGGATTAACCGTGCTCTGCACACCCCCCCACACACAGCTGAGAAGCGGGCAGGAGGAGGGGGCGCAGCTGGAGAGCGTGATGCTCTACGCCCTGCACCTCTGCGAGTGCCTCTTCGACCCCTACCAGACCTGGCGGCGGCAGCTGAGCGGGTGAGCCCCCCCCGGGGGGGGTGGGAAAAAAATCGTCCCCCCCCCCCAAAAAAAAATAATATTTGCACCCCTCTCATCTCCCCCCCTCACTCCTCTCCTTCCAGGGAAGTCGTCAGCTCGCAGGAGAAGAGCAAGTACAAGTTCGCCCCCGCCGCTTTGCCCCCCGAGTTCGATGCCTTCTTCCAAGGTAAATCTGCGCCCCCCCCCTTTTTTTGGTGACCCCCCCCAGGGCCAAATCTTTTTATCTGAAGCTGTTTTTGTTTTTTTTTTTTTTTTTCTGGGCACTTTAATTTTTTTACACCCCACCCCCAGAGTACGCTGGACTTAAAGGGATTTCACGGGGATTAACTCGAGGTGGCTTTCCGAGGGGGGGGGGCGTCACTTTCGGACACCCCCACAGCCCCAAAACCTGAGCTTTCGATGCTAAAATTTAATTTATTTTGATTTCAATCGCCTAGAATTGACTGGGAGGGGAAACCCTGCGAACGCAGGTGTGCCCCACCAGTCCGCCACCTGGCAGTTCTTGCAGGATGCGCCCCCCCCCCACCTCCTTTTTGGGGCCAAATCCTCCTTTTCCACACATTCACCTTATTTCGAAAGCCCCGAGAAACAAAGCAAATGGGATTTTTTGGGCGAGACTGATGGCTTAAGGGCACCGAAACCAAGCGATCGGCGTCCTTTTAACCCAAATGTTGGCCGTCGTGGTGCATGGGGCTGACAAAAATACAGCCTGGCCGGGAAACCCTAAAAACCCCATAAATGAGCCAAAAAGGGGAGGCCCCCCCAGGGCAAAGGGGTTGCAGAAAGCACCTAAAAATCCCGGCAAGCTGTTCCCCGGCTGTGAATCCCCGCCGAGCTCAATTTTAGCACAAAACCCCGGGGTTTTAGACCAAAAAACTCCCCCCTGCAGCCAAATCCGAGGTGTTTGTGCCCCTTTTCCCCCAACAGGGTCCAGCGCCACGGATTCCGGGTCGGGTTTTGGGGTGGGATGGGTGGAAAAGGGAATTCTTGCCCTTTTTTTTTCCCCCATCGCCCCTTGTCCTTGCAGAGAGCTTCCAGCCCGGCGGGCAGCTCCCCGACGAGCTCCAGCTCCGGGTCATCCACCTCTTCGGGGCCATCCTCTCCGGGTCCAAGGTATTTTTGGGGTGGGGACGGGGACAGAGGGGACACGGGGGGGTCCCCACGGCTCTGCCAAACCCTCACTGCCCCCCCTATGGGGTTGGGTACATCGGCACGGGCTGGGGAGAGGGAAACCAAGACCCAGCCCCAAGCCTGAGCTGTTCCAAGCAAGGAATTGAGCCGGAATTAAACAGCTTGACTTCCAAAAACCTTTTGGGGTCACGTTTAGAAATCACAGCCTGGGTGACGCCCTCAATTCACCCTAAAAAAAAAACCAAAATGAGGGTGAAGATAAAAAGCAGCCCTGGCCGCTCAGCTCCGGGGCGGATAAGAGCACCTTGGGTGGATAACTCAGTGCCGAGCACTCGTGGGCTGTAAAAAACTCAGAGCTCAAAAATAGCAGGACTTGATTAACAGTCCCAAAACGTGCTTTTTTTTTATTTTTTTATTTAATTTGCCAGCAGCAGGCAGGAAAGCCTCACGGAGAGACCCGGAGCGCTGCGCGCATCGCCGGGGGCTGGCTTAGACGCGGGGATTTACCTTGGCAAGGGGAAAAAAAAAAAAAATAGGGATAAAATAAAAATCTGCTTGCTCCCCACAGCCCAACGCTCTGCGAGCCATCACGCCGGCGGCGCTGGAGGTGCTCCTGGGGGTGCTCCGGAGAGGGGGCACGGGGCCGGCGCCGTGCCCGGGGCTGCTGGAGCTGACGCTGCGCGGCGTGGTGGCGGCGGTGCACGCGCTGCACGCCAGCAGCCCCGGCCCCGTGCCCCTGCGCTCGCTTCTGGACGGCTACTTCAAGGTGCTCAACGCCAACCCGACCTCGGTGACGCCGGCCGGAGACCTCATCGCCCTGAGGGTGCAGATGTTGGGTAAAAACAAAGGGTTTCGGGAGGTTCGGAGGAGGGTTTGGGGTTGCGGAGGGGGCTGAGAGAGGTTTTTGTTGTCCTGGTGGATGCGGTGTTGTAGATGCCATCCCGGCCATGCTGAGCTGCGATGATCGGCCGGTCCTGCAAGCCGTCTTCCTCAGCAACAACTGCTTCGAGCACATCATCCGCCTGCTGCAGAACAGCAAGGTAGCTGCGCTGCTTTGGGGTTTTTTTTTGGGGTTTTGCATCCTCATCTCCATCCTCATCCTCCCCATCTCGAAACGGCTCGAAATGGCTCGAAACGCCACGCCACGCTCCAGGAGCCACCCCAGCACCTTCCCCACCTCGCTCTCACCCCAAGCCGGGGCAGGGATGGTGCCTGACCCTATTTTTCCTCCCCCTACACCCCGACCTGGCCTTTCCTTCCTCGCCCCAGCTCTACCTCAACAGCACGCAGGAGGCGGGTGAAGCCCAGGACAAGCTCCCCGTGCAGCCACCGACGGGCGGTGGGCTCCAGCAGGTATTCTATGGGGCTGCCCCACAACTCAGCTGCCCAGTGGGGTCGGGGGAGATGCCCACAACCCACCCACCCCCTTTTCCTGCAGGTTTTTGACGTCGGCTCCGATGCCATCGCGGTCCACGCTATCGGGGTGCTCACGGCCATCATGAGCAACTCGCCCTCGGCCAAGGTGGGTGAGGAGGGTGGACGGCTCCCGGCGCAGCTGGGGTTGGGTTTTTTTTTTTTTTCAAGCTGCGAGGTGTTTTGGGGACAAAGCAGCTCGTCCCAGGGGGCCGCTGCAGAGCCCGACGTGCCCGGGTGTTTGCAGGAGGTGTTCAAGGAACGCATCGGCTATGCCCACCTCTACGAGGTGCTGAGGAGCCAGGGCCAGCCCACCCAGCGCCTGCTCCAGGAGCTCCTCAACATGGTGAGTGCTCCCGTGGCTTCTTTTCAAGTGCTGGAATCCTACAGGGGAACAATGGGGTCGGTCTTTGCCTGCTGCAGCCCCTTCTTTCACCCCCAAGTCCCTGCTGGGTCCCCGTGGTCCCCATCCCGAGGTGGCCTCACTGCCTTGAGCTTTGAGTGGCGCTCAGCTTTGGGGAGATTTGAGCCTTTGGGGAGGGCTCTTGGGAGGGTTCCCCAAAACGCTCGGTGCACGGGGGTCTCCCAAGGGTTTTGGTGCGTGGGGGTCTCTCAGAGGCTTGGTTCTTGCAGGTCTCCAAGAGTTTATGTCTGGTGGGGGGTCTCCCAAAACACTTGGTGCAAGAGGGTCTCCCAAAGCCCTTGGTTTACGAGGGTCCCCCAAGACCCTTCATTCATGAGGGTCTCCCAAGGGGCTTGAATCATGAGGGTCCCCGAAGGCCCTTCATTCATGAGGGTCCCCCAAGGGGCATGGTTCACAAGGGTCTCCCAAGACCCTTCATATATGAGGGTCTCCCAAGGGGTTTGGTTCATGAAGGGTCTCCCAAGGGTCTTGGTTCACAAGGGTCTTCCAAGACCCTTCATTCACGAGGGTCTCCCAAGGGGCTTGGTTCATGAGGGTGCCCCAAGACCCTTCATTCATGAGGGTCTCCCAAGGAGTTTGGATCACAAGGGTCCCCCAAAGCCCCTCATTCACGAGGGTCTCCCAAGGCCCTTGATTTACAAGGGTCTCCCAAGAGAGGTTTCCCAAGAGTCTCCCAAGGGACGTAGTTTATGAGGGTCTCCCAAGGGTCTTGGTTCACAAGGGTCTTCCAAGACCCTTCATTCACGAGGGTCTCCCAAGGGGCTTGGTTCATGAGGGTGCCCCAAGACCCTTCCTTCATGAGGGTCTCCCAAACCCCTTGGTCCGCGGGAGCCTCCAAGACGCTCGGTGCACAGGGCTCACCACTTCATACCCAGGCCAGTCAGGAGGAGCATCCATCCCTCTCCCCGTGCCCGCACCAACCATCTCCTATATTTCAACAGGCGGTGGAAGGCGACCACAGCTCCTTCCCGGCTCTCCCCATCCGCAACGAGCAGCCTCTGCTCCTGCTGCTGGCCTGGCTCCCCTCGCTGTCCTGCCGCGAGCTCCAACTCTTCCTCGCCGAGCGCCTGCGCCGCCTGTGCGAAGCCTCGCTGCCCGGCCGCCTCACCTGCGTCAAGGCGGGCATGGTGGGCAGCCTGCTGGCCGCCCTGGCCGCCGAGCCCGCCCTGCCTCCCTCCTGCTCCGAAAATCTGCTGGAGCTGCTGCGGGAGCTGGGCGGCCTCTCCATTCGGCCCGGCGAGCTGCGGCAGCTGCTGCGGCTGCTGCGGCGCGAGCGGGGCCGGGGGGCGCATCCCTACACGGCGCCGGTGCTGCGGGCGCTCTCGGGGATGGCACGGGCTGAGGGACCCCCGCGAGCCTTGCAATATTTCGACCTGACCCCCGGCATGGCTGGGATCATGGTGCCCGCTGTCCAAAAATGGCCCGGCGGTGCCTTCGCCTTCCACGCTTGGCTCTGCCTCAGCGAGGAGGAGCCCGGCCCGCCGGCGAGGCCGAAGAGGAGGCAGCTCTACAGGTGAGGCTGGCCGGGGGACAAGAGGAGGGTGAGGAGGGTGAGGTGCAGCCATCCTCACCGTGCTGTCCTCCCTTTCTGCAGCTTCTTCACGGCCAGCGGGACGGGCTTCGAGGCTTTCTTCACCGCCGACGGCATGCTGGTGGTGGCTGTCTGCACCAAGAAGGACTACATGACGGTGGCGCTGCCAGAAGTGGCCTTCAACGACTCGGCCTGGGTGAGTGACATCCCTGTCCTCGTCTCCATCCCCGTGGTGGGGACAGGGACGGGCTGAAACCCTCTTCTCAACCCCGCAGCACTGCGTCGACATCGTCCACGTCGCCGGCCGCCGGCCCTTCGGCCAGAACGTGGTCAGCATCTACGCGGACGGGCACCTGCGGAAGACGGCGCAGCTCCGCTTCCCCTCCCTGCACGAGGTCAGGGACCCCTCCCCGGCGCCTCACCCCGCTCTGGGTGGCACCTTGGGGACTAAACACCGCTCCCTGTCCCCTGCAGTCCTTCACCTCCTGCTGCATCGGCTCGGCGGGGCACCGCACCACCACCACGGCCATCGGCAGCAGCCACCCGCCGCCGTCCCACGGGCCGGAGCTGTCCTTCCCCCCGCACCCCGCTCTCTGCCGTTCACAATCCTTCCCCGCCGCCCTGGGACCCCACGCCTGGACCCCTCTGCAGCCCCCCACCGAAGGGGTGGTGGCCACCACGGCGGCCGGCAGCCAGGACACCGAGTGGGGCACCCCCACGTCCCTCGAGGGCCACCTGGGCTCCGTGGCCATCTTCTGCGAGGCGCTGCAGCAAACCCAGGTCAAGGCGCTCTTCTGCTCGGGTACGTGGGGGCAGGGGGACATCCACGGGGGTGCTGGGGGGGTCCACGTCTCCGGCCCTTCGCCGCTCAGCCCTTTTTCCTCCCCCAGGTCCAAACGTGGCGTCCCCGTTTACGCTGGAGGGCGACCTGGTGGAGCTCAGCAGCAAACTCCTGCTCTACTACACCCCGCAGGTGAGGGCTCCCGTTGTGCTTGACCTTCCCCTCGTGGTCCTTGAGGTCCAACCCACCTCATCTTCCCCCAGTGACGTTTTTGGGGTGATGGTGGGGACCCAAGTGTCCCCGAGTCCTCACGGGGTGCTGTGCTCTCTTCCAGGCCTGCAGGAACAACATCTGCCTGGACCTCTCTCCCAGTCACGGCCTGGACGGGAGGCTGACAGGGCACAAGGTGGTCAACTGGGACGTCAAGGTATGCTGGGTGTAGGGTGGCTTGGCCTGATTCACCCACCCCATAGCTTGGAGGCAGCCAGGCCTCACCATGGATGTGGGGCAGGGGGTGCTGGATGGCCCTGGTGGTTCCCCTGAACCCTATGGGGGGGAATCAGGGGAATATGTGGTATGGGATCTGTCAAGGACCCATGGGTTCACCAAGGGTGATGGCCCCTGGGCCACCAGGGTCAGCCCTGGAGGTCCTCAGTGTCCAGGCTGGGCACCGTGGGTGGTTGCTGCAGGGGAAGAGGTGTTTTGGGGGCACCTTTTGGGGTGTTCCCCAGCTTGGGTGAGCTGGCAGAATGATCCCTGGGGTCCCTGGCCCCAGATGGACGTGCGACCTCCTCCTCTGCACCACCATCACCACGCAGCCCTCGGGGACACCCAAAAAAATCTCTCGCCTCCCCCCCCCCCGGCAGGACGTGGTCAACTGCGTGGGCGGGATGGGCGTCCTGCTGCCCCTGCTCGAGCAAGTGGTGAGCAAGAAGGAGGAAGCCGAGGACGAGCAGGAGACCAACGACCTGGTGGGGCCAGAGCTGACGTCCTCCAGGAACGCCCAGGGCATGCTGATCCCCCTGGGCAGGTCCTCAGGTGAGGTCCCCGAGTGGGGTGAAGGAGGAGAAGTGCCGTAGGTAACCCCGCTGCCACGTGGGCTGGTGTCTACCACAGGCAAAACCTTGCCTGGGGCACCAGGATTTATGGGGCAGTGGAAAAACCATCGCCGTCGTTGACGTCTTTTGAGGTTGTTATGACCTAATTAGTCATAAATGAGCGGTTCTGGGAAGGTGAGGGTGGCTCGAGCCTGCCTGGCTCCGGTTTTGCTTTTGCATGAGGTCCCTGGTGTCCTGCATGAACCTGATGTCTTGGTGACAGAAGCCTTGGTGACATGAGATTCCTCCCGAAGCCCAGCTGCTAATTTTCGGGCAGAAAAATGAGGTTTCTCAGAGCAACCTGAGCTTTCTGCTCGGTTAAGTTTGGGGGAAATAGGTGAAGGGCCAATTTTGTGGTGGGGTCACCAGGCTGCCCATGGCTGCAGAAAGGGGGGAAGGACCCTGGTGGGAGCGAGCTGGTGGCTCCCAGCTCTCCCCGTGCCTTGCAGAGAGCAGGCTGGAGAGGAACAGCGTGGCCGCCTTCCTGCTGCTGGTGAAAAACTTCATCCAGCACCACCCGGTGAACCAGGAGAGCCTGGTGCAGTGCCACGGGCCGGCCATCATCGGGGCACTCCTGCAGAAGGTAGGGAGCTGCCGAAACCACCGGGCTCCATCCCAAAATCGCTGCCCAAACCACAAACCCCCCCTCCTTATCACCTTATCACCCCGGGCAGGTCTCCGGCCCGCTGCTGGACATGAGCACGCTGATGGCCTCGCAGATCCTGATGGAGCAAGTGGCCTCCGAGGGCAGCGGGCTCCTGCTGCACCTCCTCTACCAGCACCTCCTCTTCGATTTCCGCATCTGGAGCAACAGCGACTTCGCCGTCCGCCTAGGTGAGGGCAGGAGGGCACCCGCGGGGGGCTCCCCGGGGCCCGGTGGTGGCCGCTCACCCCCCTCTCCACGCAGGTCACATCCAGTACCTGGCCAACGTCGTCAAGGACCACAAGCAGCGCATCCGCAAGAAGTACGGGGTGCAGTACGTCCTCGACTCCATCCGGACCTACTACGGGTGAGCTGCTGCTTGTAGACGGGATGCCTGGCCCCCAGACACTGGTATTGTGGTGGGTTTGAGCCCTGGAAGGTGCAGTTTGGGGTGGATGCCTTTTATTTGGGGTGGACGCCTTTTATTTGGGGTGGACGCCTTTTATTTGGGGTGGACACCTTTTATTTGGGGTGAACACCTTTTATTTTCGGTAGTATCCCCCCTGCGAGCACATCAGGGGAAAATCTGATGGAGCATTATGGTGTGCACGGGACCTTCATCTCCCCATGCCCCATCTCCAAGCTTTGCGTGGTCTCCAACACCCAGATTTGCAACTGGTTAGCCCCAAAATCCACCCCAGCAGTAACTGGGAGCGTCGTGGTTCCAGCAACAAGCTGATGCTCTTTTCTTGCCTGACCCTGTGGGTTTCTGCAACTTCTCACACCCTGCAGAGACCCAAACCCGTGGGCTGTGTGTTTCCTGGGGTGCCTGCGGGGATGTTCCCACTGTCCTGGAGCTCCTCAGGCTTCGTGGTGGGATTTGGGATTGTGCTGGTGACGAGAGGCAAAAGGGCAGCTGTCCCCATCCCCAACGGGAACATCCCCGTGTGTCTCTTCCCCAGTGCCTCCAGGGAGAAGTCCACCACGACGGACGACATCAAGACGGTGCAGACCTCCCTCTTCAGCCTGGTGAAGGACTTCTTCTGCCGGAGCTTCTCCGGGGAGGAGATGCAGAGCTTGCTCAACTACGTGGCCGCGGCACAGGACGAGCAGCAGGTACGGCGCCTGGATGCCCAGATCCCACCACGCCGCCCCAAAAAAAGTCCCCAAACACGTAGGGCTGGCCTCGTTCTTGGGAGTAGCTCAGCGAGCAGGTGGGGAGAAGCCACTGAGACCCCGGTGGGGTGCGTGGAGGACAGCGTGCACCCTTTGCCTGCAGGTCTGCGGGGCGCTGGAGGTGATCCACAGCCTGCTGAAGGGCTCGCCCGCCCAGGAGCAGCTCTTTGCCTTCCTCTTCGAGCCGGGCCACGTGGAGGTCCTCTTCTCGCTGCTGGTGCAGAAGAAGTTCTCGGATGAAGTGCGGGAAAGGGTCTTCAAGGTGAGAAGGGGTCCCCGGTGTCGTCCCCTGAGGGTGGGGGCTTCTCCATGGGGTCACCGCCACCCCGCTGTGCCTCGCCAGATCCTCTACAAGATGCTGAAGTACGAGAAGGTCCCCGAGCGCTGCAAGAACCGCCTGAAGCTGAAGGACATCGGGTACCAGGGGCTCATCGCCTGCCTCAGCGACATCCCCGGCTCCATGCTGCTCTTCCGCTGCCTCTCGGAGCAGGTCCTGGGGGCAGGTACCGTGTCCCCTTTATGTCCCGTCCTGGTGGCACGCCACAGGGCCATCCTGGTGGCTTCCCAGCTCAGTGGGGCTGGCTGGAGGTAGATCTGGGGAGCTTTGGTGGCTTTTGGGGGACCAAAACTCTCTCCTTGCCTGCAGATCCTCCCAATTATAAGGACCTGGTGGCCGTGGTGTACCTGTCCCACCGGGCTGAGCTGACGGTCCGGCTCGATATCTGCCGCAAGGTGAGCAGAGCGAGGTGCAGGGGGTGCCACCATGGGGTCACCATGGGGCTGAGCTCCCCCATGGGATCACGGGGACATGGGGACAGCTAAAACACCCCACAATGGGACCTGGGGGTGCTCAGAACCACTGCCAGCCAGCCTGACCGCCCTGCTCCTGCCCTTTGTGGGGTCCAAGCCCCCCGAGAGGCTTTGTGGAGCTGAGGTGACCCCGCTGGGTGTCTCCCCATCTTGTCCCACAGCTTTTCCACTTGATCTACGCGCAGCAGGACATGGTGAAGCAGCTGGCGAGGCTGGCGGGCTGGCAGGACACGCTCACCAAGCTCTACGTCAAGGAATCCTACGAGTCCCGCCAGCACAGCCTGAGCCTCTCGAGCAGCGGGGGCTGCCTGGAGCTCCTGCGCCTCTCCGAGCCCCCCGGCAGGGACGGAGGCACCGAGACGGGAGGGAAGGAGGCGGGGGGCTGCACGAGCCCCCCGCCCGCCGAGCTGCAGGAGCTGGACGTCTTCCTACCTCTGGGCTACGAGGCCTCGGACCAGGAGCTCTCCGAGGGCTTCTCCGACCACTCCACCTCACCGAGCGGCCGCACCAAGTCCTTCCACTCCTACAACTTCAAGTCCTTCGACTCCTCCGACCGCGCCAGCCGCTCGTCCTCCAACCCCGGCGACGTCCCCTTTGACGGCGTCTACCACCCGCTTTCTCCCTTCTCCACCTCGCCCTTCGACCTGGGGCTCGACCTGGCCAGCACCAGCTCCATCGCCACGGCCGAAAGCGGCGCTCAGACGCCCGCCAGCGGCCCCGGCACCCCCTCGCCCCTGGAAAGCTTCAAACCCTTCCCGGGGATGCGCACCCGCAAGAGCTCCAGCCTCTCCAACGTCCTGGATGAGAGCAGCTACCAGGACGCCCTGCCCAGCGACAACGTCTCCAACACCAGCAACCCCCAGGTGAGCCTCGAGCCGTGCCGCCCACCTCCTTTTAGGAAATTCCAGCTGGGTTTCCTAAACGTTTTTTCCACCTTTCCGGCAGCAAACGCCCGAGGAGGAGCTGTGCAACCTCCTGACCAACATCGTCTTCTCGGTGACGTGGCGCGGGGTGGAAGGTTGGGACGACGCGGCGTGGAGGGAGCGCGGGCAGGTTTTCTCCGTCCTCACCAAGCTGGGCACGGCTTGCGAGCTGGTGAGGCCCCCCGACGAGATCAAGCGCAGGTTTGTGGGGGTTTACGGAGGGTCAAGGTGGGGGCTACGGGGTGGTGGGGACCCTACAGAGCTCCCCGCTGTCCCGCAGCCTGCTGGAGATGATGCTGGAGTCGGCGCTGACGGATCTGAAGGAGTCGGGGCCGGCCGCCCTGCCCGGCCTCACCCAAAATGCTCTCAAGCTGCTGCGGCTGCTGCAGGATTTCTTGTTCTCCGAGGGGCACAACAACCAGGCCCTGTGGAGCGAGAAGGTGAGCGGCCACGGGCAAGGTCCTGACCCCAAGGAGGACTGTAAACCCTTGTGTTGCGGTTAGCCTTGCCCCCAAACCCTGCCCGTACACCCATAGCCTGTAAATCTAACCCTAGAAACTAACCCAAGCTCTAATCCTAAAATCTAACCCATTAACCTGTAAATTTAACCCTAACCTGTAAACCAAACCTTAAAACTTAGCTCCAGCCCTACACTCTTGCCATAAACTCCAACACTAACCCTAAGCTTTAACCCCAACCCTAAGCCTTAACCCAACCCTAACAGTATAGCCGTGCTGTAAACCTAACCCTAATCCTCAACCCTATTGCTAACATCTAACCCTGATGTTAGCCCTAAATCTGTAGCCCATAAACCTAACTCTAGGAACTAATCCAAACCCTAGTCCTAAAACCTCACCCTGGCTCATGACCTCTTAACCTAAATTGTAAACCTAACCCTAAACCTTAACTTTACATTCTTGCAATGAGCCCCAATCCTATAGCCTGTCTGTCCCTAGTCCCTAACCCTTAACCCTACACCCTTATCCTAAACCCAAACCCTATACCATAATCCTATACATTAAGATCTTTATCCCTGATTTATATAAACCTAACCCTGAACCTCAACCCTAACCCTACATCCTTGCTGTAAACCCTACCCCTAACTCCTAATCCTGACCTTTAACCTTAACCCTACGCCCTTGCCATAAACCCGAGCTCTTAACCCTATCTAAACCCTAATTTATAACCTATAAATCTAACCAGACCTCCTAAACCCTAATCCTGAACCTTAACCCTACATTCTTGTTATAAGACTCAGCCCTAACCCTAATCTTAACCCTAAACCCCCACCCTAAGCCCCCACTCTATACCCCAATGCCAAACCCTTACCCAACCCTAAAACCTATCAACCCTAACCCTACATCCTTGCTGTAAACCCTACCCCTAACTCCTAACCCTGACCTTTAACCTTAACCCTACACCCTTGCCATAAACCCAAACCCTTAACCCTATCTAAACCCTAATTCATAACCTATAACTCTAACCAGACTTCCTAAACCCTAATCCTAAACCTTAACCCTACATCCTTGTTATAAGACTCAACCCTAACCCTAATCCTAATCTTAACCCTAAACCTAATCCTGACCTTTAACCTTAACCCTACACCCTTGCCCTAAACCCAAGCCCTAAACCCTAGCTTTATACTCTAAATCCTAATTCATAACCTATAACTCTAACCAGACTTCCTAAACCCTAATCCTAAACCTTAACCCTACATTCTTGTTATAAGACTCAACCCTAACCCCAATCCTAACCTTTAACCCTAACCCTACACCATCCCCATAAACCCCAACCCTAAAACCTTTCCCCTGCCCCTAATTCCTTCCCCTCCCCATAACCCAAACTGGTATCGAGCGGTGGCTGGGAGATGGGGACCCGGCTCCAGCTTGGGGGCTGGAGACGGGGGTCTCACTGTGCCCCCCAACCCCAGATCTACGAGGGGGTGAGCGGCCTCCTGGACAAGCTGGGCGTCTGGTACCACCTGGCCAACGGCACCTCTGACCTGAAGGAGATGGCCCAGACGGGGCTGCGCGTCCTGGTGGGCTACATCATGCTGCAGGACCCCCAGGTGGGTCACCTGGGGGGCTCTAGGAGGGGGAGACCCCAACCTTTTTAGGGCCGGGCAGGAGGCTTCACCTCACGCCCCCGTGCGTCCCCTCTCCCCACCAAGCTGCACTCGCTGGCCTACGTGAAGCTGCACAGCCTGCTGCAGACCGCCTCGGCCCCAAAAAAGGATGAGGCTTGCTACCTTTTGGGCAAGCTGGAGACCCCGCTGCGACGCTCGCTGGATGCCAAATCGGAGACTTTCTCCTGGCTGGTGCCCATCGTGCGCACGCTGATGGACCAGTGCTACGAGACCCTACAGCTGCAGCTCTTCCTGCCCTCGCTGCCCCCCACCAACGGCAGCCCCACCTTCTACGAGGACTTCCAGCTCTTCTGCAGCACCCCCGAGTGGAGGAGCTTCATCGAGAAGCACGTGGGTGGCGCGGGGAACCCTGTTTGGGGTCCTCTTCTTGGGCTTAGAGGTGGCTCTCGTGTTGGAGTGCCACCAAGCTGGGACATCCCAAACCCATGCCAGGGTGACCCAGGAGGTGCTGGTGCCCTGCTGAGCACCCTACAGACATCTCCTCTGTTCCATCCCTGCAGGTGCAGCCCACCATGGCCCAGTTTGAGATGGACACGTTCGCCAGGAGCCACGACCACATGTCCAACTTCTGGAACGCCTGCTACGATGCCATGATGAGCAGCTCCCTGCGGCGGGAGCGGGACAAGGCGGACAGCAGGAAGATGTTCCAGGTACTGCCTCCTCCTTGCCCCGGGGACGTCTCCCTGGGGACGTGCTCCTTGTCCCAGGGCCGTGCTCCTCACCCCAGGGATATGCTCATCACCCCAAGGATGTTCTCCTCACCCTGGGGCCATGCTCCTCACCCCAGGGGTGTCACCCAAAGGACGTGCTCCTCACCCCAGGGATGTGCTCCTCACCTTGGGGATGTTACCCTGGAGATATCCTCTTGATCCCAGAGCCTTCATCCCAGTGATGTGCTCCTTAACTTGGGGATGTCATCCTAAGGACATGCTCCTCACCCCAGGGATGTCACCCCAGGGCCTTGCTCCTGACCCCAAGGATGTCCCCACAGGGACATGCTCCTCACCCCAAGGATGTGCTCCTCACCTTGGGGATGTCATCCTAAGGACATGCTCCTCATCCCAGGGACATCACCGTGGGGATGTTCTCACACCACAGTCGTCACCCCATGGACGTGTTCCTCACCCCAGCGACGTCCCCAACCCCCAACCCTCACCATCACTTCCCCTTTCCACCAGGATCTGGTTCTGGAGCCGGCGGCGAAACGCGCCAAGGCCGAAAACGCCCGGCACGCCAACGTGCTGAAGCAAGCCAACAACCACCAGAGCACCGTGCTGAAGCAGTGGCGCTCCCTCTGCCGCCTCCTCACCTCGCCCCGCTCCGCCTGGGCTGATCGGTGAGCACCCACACCCCCACCTCAGCTCCAGTTTGGGGTACGGGTGTGGATCTGGGGGTCCCTCATCCTCACCTGCCCCCCAGGAACCCACCTGAGGTTCGCTGGAAGCTCTCAAGCGCCGAGACCTACTCGAGGATGAGGCTGAAGCTGGTGCCCAACCTGAATTTTGACCAGCACTTGGAGGCCAGCGCCCTGCGGGACAACCTGGGTGAGGCTGGTGGGCACCCAGGGGTCCTCGTGTTCCCAGGGGGGGCTGCTTGCTGATCTCCCCCCTCATTCCAGGAGCTGATAACCTCCACAACCCCGCTGAATCCCTCCCGCTCGCCATGGCCAAGGAGGCCAAGGTGAGCGAGCTGGAGGACGACCAGCTGGCCGAGGAGGACCTCCCCGTCCTGGACACGCAGTGAGTGTCCCCGTCCCCATCCACGACCCCAAGTCCCTCTCACCCGGGGGGTGTCCTCACCCTTTGGGGGTGTCCTCACCCTTTCCCTGTCCCCCCCCAGGGCCGAGCCCAAGGAGCAGAACCAGCGGGAGAAGCTGGTGGTCTCGGAGGACTGCGAGCTCATCACCACGGTGGCCGTTGTCCCTGGCCGCCTGGAGGTGACAACCCAACACGTCTACTTCTACGACGGGAGCAGCGAGAAGGAGGAGACGGAGGGAGGTAAGGGCACGTGCCTCGGAGAGCACAGGGAGGGGGGACGAGGCCACAATCTCTGCCCAACCCCTGCTCCCAGACAGCCTGGAGCTCCTCGGGGGGCTCCCTGTGGCGCAGTGGGGTGAAGATGCCCCCGTCCATCCCCTGTCCCACCCCAAAGCCCATCTCCAGGGACGCCAACCTTTTGGGGTGCTCTCCCTGGTTCCATCCCCAATCCCTGCCCTTCATCCCCTGCCTCTCCCCCATTCTGGGTGCTCTCTGAACCCCCCTGGGCTCTGTGCTCCCCCGGCAGGGATCGGCTACGACTTCAAGCGCCCCTTGTCCCACCTGCGTGAGGTCCACCTGCGCCGCTACAACCTGCGCCGCTCCGCGCTCGAGCTCTTCTTCATCGACCAGGCCAACTACTTCCTCAACTTCAAGAAGAAGGTGGTGCCACCCTTTTCTACCCCCGAGCCCCCCAAGCTCCAGCCGGGCCCCCCTGGAGTCGCAGGACCGTGTCGGGTCCACGTGGGGACCTCGAGCATCAGCAGGGCTCTCGCCTCCGTCCCTGCAGGTGAGGAATAAGGTTTATTCCTGCATCCTGGGGCTGAGGCCCCCCAGCCAGATCTACTTCGGCAGCCGCTCGCCCCAGGAGCTGCTGAAAGCCTCGGGGCTCACCCAGGTACCCGTGTCCCCCCTCTCCATGTCCCCCCCTGAGGGTGCCCGTGCAAAGGGCGGTGCCCACGCACCCCCTGCAGGGCCCACCGTGGGGTTTGCTCCACCTTCTGCTCCCAAAATCATCTCAGCCACCCCCTTTTTGCTCCAGAAATGGGTTCTGCGGGAGATCTCCAACTTTGAGTACCTCATGCAGCTGAACACGATCGCGGGGCGTACCTACAACGACCTCTCGCAGTACCCGGTGGTGAGCTCCCCATGTCCCCCCAACCCCGGGCTGCCCGGTGGCCTCAGGTCCCCCCCAAAGCCTCACCCACCCTCCATCCTGACCCCCCAGTTCCCGTGGATCCTGCGGGATTACGTCTCGGAGACCCTCGACCTCACCGACCCGGCCGTGTTTCGGGATCTCTCCAAGCCCATCGGGGTGGCCAACGAGAAGCACGCGCGGGACGTGAAGGAGAAGTGAGTGCCCCCAAAAAAAACCAGGGACTGGTGGGGGGATGTAGGGACTGGGGCACCTTCCCTGACCCTGCTGCTTCCCCCCCAACACCAGGTACGAGAGCTTTGAGGACCCCACGGGCACCGTGGACAAGTTTCACTACGGCACGCACTACTCCAACGCGGCGGGCGTCATGCACTACCTGATCCGCACCGAGCCCTTCACCACGCTGCACATCCAGCTGCAGAGCGGACGGTGAGCACCCCGCTGAGGGTGGGAGGTGGAAGGGGGGGACGCAGAGCCACCGCCACCACCACCGGGGTCCCACGGTGTCCCCCCCGTTGCCCCCAGGTTCGACTGCTCGGACCGGCAGTTCCACTCGGTGCCGGCGGCGTGGCAAGCCCGCATGGAAAACCCTGTGGACGTCAAGGAGCTCATCCCCGAGTTCTTCTACTTCCCCGAGTTCCTGGAGAACCAGAACGGTAACGTGGGGGAACGGGGATGGGAATGGGGACAGGACAACTGGTTTCCTGACCCGTTGTCCCCCCCTCATTGTCCCCAGGCTTCGACTTGGGCTGCCTGCAGATCTCCAACGAGAAGGTGAACGACGTGGTGCTGCCACGGTGGGCGCGCTCCCGTGAGGACTTCATCTACCAGCACCGCAAAGCCCTGGTGAGATGGTGCAGCCCCCATCTCCTTTCCCACTGGGGAAAGGTCCTTTTTGGGGGGCAGCGGGTGTCCCCAGCCCCCCCGTGACACCCCATGCCCCTGCAGGAGTCGGAGTACGTCTCGGCGCACCTCCACGAGTGGATCGACCTCATTTTCGGGTACAAGCAGCGAGGCCCGGCCGCCGTGGAGGCCCTCAACGTCTTCTACTACTGCACCTACGAGGGTGAGCTGCGGGGACAGGGGGTGGGGGGCACCTGCAGGGTGGGGCCTCATTAAAAATCCCCCCCTGTTCCCATCCCCAGGCGCCGTGGACCTGGACGCCATCGCCGACGAGACGCAGAGGAAAGCTTTGGAGGGCATCATCAGCAACTTCGGGCAGACGCCCTGCCAGCTGCTCAAGGTGGCTCAGTCCCCCCAAAAATCCAAGCCCCCCCAGCTTCGTTTCAAGGGGTTCTGCCCCCATTCTCACGGGTCTCACCCTCTCCCTTCCTCCAGGAGCCCCATCCCGCCCGGCTGTCGGCCGAGAGCGCAGCCCGGAGGCTGGCCCGCCTGGACACCCGCCCGCCCAACGTCTTCGAGAACCTGGACCAGCTCAAGTCCTTCTTCGTGGAGGTGGGGACAGGGACACGGGGTGCTGGGGGTGCCGGCGGCGAGCGGGGCACCCACCAGCTGTGTCTTCCCCGCAGGGCATCAGCGACGGCGTGGCCTTGGTGCAAGCCGTGGTCCCCAAAAACCAGGCGCACTCCTTCATCACTCAGGGATCCCCCGACGTCCTGGTGAGCGCAGGGAAACTGAGGCACGGGTGCTCCTCACCAGGAGGGTGACAGTGTTGGGGATCCCCCAGGCACGTCACCGCTGTCACCCCTCCTCTGCCCAGGTCACCGTGAGTGCCAACGGCCTGCTGGGGACCCACAACTGGCTGCCCTACGACAAGAACATCTCCAACTACTTCAGCTTCACCAAAGACCCCACCGTCTCCAACGCCAAGTGAGTCCCCGTCCCCGAATCCCTCGGGGCCGCGCGAGCTCTCCCGGTCCCTGCGGTGCCAGGAGCGTGTCCCTGCCTCCATCCCATGTTGTCCTTCCCCACCAGGACCCAGCGCTTCCTGCAGGGCCCCTTCGCCCCCGGCGCGGACCTGTGCTCCCGCACGCTGGCCGTGTCCCCCGATGGGAAGCTGCTCTTCAGCGGGGGACACTGGGACAACAGCCTGCGTGTCACCTCCCTGGGCAAAGGGAAGGTCGTTGGGCACATCACCCGGCACATAGGTACGGTGTCACCCTCCTCGGCGTGCCAAGGGGACCTGGGATCACGCAGGGGACATCCCCACAGCCCTCTTGGTGCCACCTGCTGGGGTTGGGCTGCCAAGACACACGGGGACGGGGCCCGGCGGCTCACGGTGTCTCTCGGGGTGTCACAGATGTTGTCACCTGCCTGGCGCTCGACCTGTGTGGCATCTACCTCATTTCTGGCTCCCGGGACACCACCTGCATGGTGTGGCAGGTCCTGCAGCAGGTACGGGGCTGCGCCGTGTGCCGGCTCTCGGGGTGAAGGTGCTGATTTCTGGGGCCTTACGATGGCACAACGAGGTCCCTGAGGTCCCCGTGTCCCCTCCACCAGGGCGGGTTCTCCAGCGGCTTGGCCCCCAAGCCCGTCCAGGTCCTGTACGGCCACGACGACGAGGTGACGTGCGTGGCCATCAGCACCGAGCTGGACATGGCCGTGTCGGGCTCCAAGGTGAGCCGTGGATGGGTGGCGAGCCTCATCCCAGGGAAAATGGCACCGGCCATCGCGCCACCCTCATCCTCTTCCTCTTTAGGACGGCACCATCATCATCCACACCATCCGCCGGGGCCTCTTCATGAAATCCCTGCGGCCGCCCGCGGAGAGCTCGCTGCCCGCCGCCGTCACCCACCTGGCCGTGGGGCCCGAGGGGCAAATCGTCACCCAGACGGCCGTGGGCGAGCGCGCCTCCCTCAAGGTGAGGTGACAAAGCCGGGCTGCGCCTCCCCTTTTCCCCGGGTCCTTTTGATCCATCATCCTTCCCCCTACTCCCTCCCACAGGACAAATTCGCCCTGCACCTCTACTCGGTGAACGGGAAGCACCTCGCCTCCGTCCCTCTGGACCAGGAGGTGACAGCCATGTGTGTGACGGAGGAATTCGTGGTGCTGGGGACCATGCAGTGCGGGCTGGAGATCCGTGACCTCCAGAGGTGAGGGCTGGTACCCCGCTGGTGCCACCAGCACCCCCTCGGGATGCTCGCGGGGTGTGCCATCCCCCAAATCTTCTCCCCCTTTTCGCAGCCTCCGGGCGGCGATGCCCCCCGTGCCCATGCGGGTGCCCGTGCACAGCGTGTCGGTGACCAAGGAGAAGAGCCACATCCTGGTGGGGCTGGAGGACGGCAAGCTGATCGTGGTGGGGGCCGGGCAGCCCGCCGAGGTGAGCACAGCCCCACCTGGCTGTGGGGTCGGGGGTGGCAGTGCGAGATGGGGGGAGGTCACGTCGCTGTGTCCCCATGTCCTGATGGGATGGGGTGGGATGGATTAGGATGGGATGGATTAGGATGGGATGGGTGGGCTAAATTGGGTTGGGGTGTGTTGGATTGGGATGGGATGGGATGGGATGGGATGGGATGGGATGGGATGGGATGGGATGGGATGGGATGGGATGGGATGGGTGGGTTGAGTTGGGATGGGATAGGATGGGTGGGTTGGGTTTGGATGGGATAGGATGGGTGGGTTGGGGTGGGTTGGATTGGGATGGGTTGGGATGGGATGGGGTGGCTTGGATTAGGATGGGATGGGTGGGTTGAGTTGGGTTGGGGTGTGTTGGATTGGGATGGAATGGGACGGGTGGGTTGGGTTGCGTTGGGATGGGATGGCTTGGATTGGGATGGGATGGGTGGATTTTGTTGGGTTGGGTTTTGTTGGATTGGGAATTGGGATGGGATGGGAGGATTAGGTTGAGTTGGGATGGGATGGCTTGGATTGGGATGGGAAGGGTGGGTTGGGCTGGGTTGGATTGGGGTGGAATGGGATGGGATAGGTGGGTTGGGTTGAGTTGGGATGGGATGGGATGATTTGGATGGGATGGGTGGGTTGAGTTGGGTTGGGATGGGTTGGATTGGGATGGAATGGAATGGAATGGGATAGGTGGGTTGGGTTGGGTTGAGATGGGATGGGATGGTTAGGATTTGGATGGGATGAGAGGGCTGGGATGGGATGGATTGGGATGTATTGGGGTAGGGTGGGACAGGTGGGATGAATATCATGGAGCGGGACAGGATGGGATGGGGATTCACACAAGGAAGGAGATGGGGTTTGGATGGGAATGGGGATTCAGATAGGGGTTGTGGGTAGGGATAAGGAAGGGATTGGAGTTGGGGATGGGGATGGGGAAGAGGATGCAGAAAGGATAAGGATGGGAATTGGAACGGGATGGAGACAGGACTGGGGATGGGAATTGAGAAAGGGTGAGCATGCAGCTGTGCATGAGGATAGGGCTGGGAAAATTGAAGGGGACGGGGACATGGAAAGGGATGGGTCATGGGGTGGGTGCTCACCCCCCTCTCCCCTAGGTGCGTCCGGGCCAGTTCCACCGGCGGCTGTGGCGCTCCACGCGCCGCATCTCGCAGGTTTCGGCTGGCGAGACGGAGTACAACCCCAACGAGGGCAGGTCCTAGGCTGCCACCCCACACCCGGCCCCGCTGGGCTTCCCGCAGCTCCCGGCCCCTCCTGGGGGGCACGGCGATAAAGGGGGGGACCCCGTGACCCCCCCACATCAGCGCCCCGAGCCCCTGGCGAGCCGGGGGGCGAGGAGAGGAGGGGTGAGCCCCGAGCTCCCCGCAGCCGGGGCTGCGTGCTCGGCCCCTCGCCGTGGCCTTATTCAGCCCCCCCTCTGGGCTGGGGGGACAGCAGTGGGATGAGGGGGGCGAGGAGGTGCCCGGGGGGGACCCCTCGCTGGGAAGGGGGGGGTGCTGTGTGTCCCCCCCCCACCATGCCCGCTGGCCAGGAGCCGGCTGCCCCCTTCCCCGACTGTTTTTTTTCTATCGATTTCTAGCTCTTTTACAAAAAAAAAAAGAAAAAAAAAAAGAAAAAAAAGAAAAGAAAGAATAATAATATATCTATCTATAAAAAATAAACGTGCACAAGGCCCTTGTCTGCCCCGAGCTGTCTCTGTTGGGGACGTTCACCCCCCCCCCCCTCCAGGCTGTGTTTTTGGGATGCGGCGAGCCACGGGGCCCTTTCTTCCTGCCCTACATAGCGGGGCCAGCCTGGCACGGGCTGTGCTCCGGGCGGGGGGCCAGCGGCCCCCGCGTGTCCCCAACTGGCACACGGGGACACGCGGCAGCCACCTCTCATCCCGGCAGGCACACGTGGCACGAGCGTGTGGGGTCTCAGCCGGGTCCCCACGAGCACCGCGGTGCCACGAGCGCAACCATCCCACCCCCCTCCCCATCCCCACAACCCCTCCAAAAAAAAAAAAACCTCATCCCCACGGCCTCGGGACCCCCACGGGGGGCTGGCTGCTGCCCCCACGGACGCCACCACCACCACCACCACCTTGTCCCCGTCCCCGTGCCCGGCCCCCGCGGCGCCCGTGTCCTCCCCTGCCCCGGCACCGCCGGGGCCCCACGGCTGGCAGCGACCTCTGTCCCCGAGCGGGGCTGGCCGCGGGTGCCCACGGCATCACGTGGAGCCGAACCAGCCAGAGGCCTCCGGGAGCCGAGCCGGGAGCAGCCGCGGCGGCGGAGGTACGGACGGACAGACAGAAGGACGGATGGGGAGGGAGGGAGGGAGGCAGGGCTGGAGGCGGTGGGGGAAACTGAGGCACGCCAGAGCTCCCGTGCGTCGCTCCCCGAGGGGGTCCCGGCCTCCGACGCGGCTGCTGGAGGGACAGGGAGAGCCCGCGGTGTCCCCCGTGTCCCCGACCCCAAAGGCTGGGCCCCGCTGTCCCCGTGCCGTAGATCCCATTCCGATTCCGAGTGTCCCAGTCCCGAGTGTCCCTGTCCCAGTGTTCCAGGTGTCCCAGTCCCAGATTCCCAGTGCCAGGTGTCCCCGTTCCCAGTCTTCCCAGTGTCCCAATGTTCCAGGTGTCCCAATCCCAGGTGTCCCTATCCCAGATACCGCCCCAGCTGTCCCAATCCCAGTCCCAGTGTCCCAGCTGTCCCAATCCCAGTCCCAATTGTCCCAGTGCCCCATATGTCCCTGTCCCCAGCTTCCCCAGCCCCAAGTCTCCCCGTCCCCATTGTCCCAGATGTCCCCATCCCAGTATCCCCAATGTCCCCACCATCCCCATCCCACGCACCCTCCTCACCTCCCAACACTCCCCCGCCTCCCAGCACCCCCAAATCCCACCCCCATCCCCATAGGGTCACGGGGGGGGGTGCCGGGACCATCCCCCCTCCCCAAAAAAACCTCCCACCATGTGGCTGGGGGCCCGCCTGGACGCGCTGCCCACCCCGGCGCTCGCCGTCGACCGTGCCGTGGCGCGCCGCAACGCCGAGCGCATGCAGGAGCGCTGCCGAGCCCTCGGCCTCCGCCTGCGCCCCCACGTCAAGACCCACAAAACGCTGTGAGTGCCACCACCCCCTTTTTATTATTTTTTCCCCCAAAACCTTCTTATTTCCACCCCAAACCCCTTTTTTTATTATTTTTTTATTTTTTTTTTTTTTTTTTTCCCTCCCGGCAGGGAGGGCGGCGCGCTGGCCACGGGCGGCACGCGGCGCGGCATCGCCGTCTCCACGCTGGCCGAGGCGCGTTTTTTCGCCGACGGGGGCTTCGATGACATCCTCCTGGCGTACCCGCTGCCAACGGGGCGCCTGGAGGAGTGCGCCCAGCTGGCCCAGCGCCTCGAAGCCTTCCAGGTGCTCTTGGACAGCCCCGAGGCGCTGCAGTGCCTGCGGCAGCGCCCGCTGGCCGGCGGCAAGCGCTGGCTCGTTTGGCTCAAGCTCGATTGCGGCAACGGCAGAGGTGGGGACGGGCACGGGGAGAGGGATTTGGGGTTGGGTTTTTTGCCGCCGGTCCCCGTGGAGCAGCACGGATAGGGTGGTTGAGTCGTGGCCCCCAAAATTCTTCATTCCATCATTCCTCAGCATCCCGCTTGTGGGGATGTCCCAAAGCCCCCAGGTAGTGTGGGTCCGTGAGCCCCCAGCCCCGTTTCCAGCCACCTCGATGTCCCGTGGGGCCCCAACCCCACAGCCCACACCACCAGCGCCTCGACCCCAATGGAACATTCAGGCTTCCCAAAAGCCATTTTTCACCCTTCATTTCAGGGTACTCCACGGGCAGGCGTGTCCCATAAGTCCCTAAACCCACAAACCCAGCAGCTGAGCCATTACGCATCCGTTAGCCCCCCCAAAAAAACCCTTTTCACCCACCCCAAGGCTTCTCCCTAGGGGAGGGATTCCGGGTGTCCCCAATCCCAAAGCCTCCATCCCCAGCAGCTCAGCCATTAGCCCCCAAACCCCATTTGCAGCCTCCCACCCCAACAATGCCCGAAGCCCCCAGCCCCACTATCTCAGCCAACGTGGGATATTTAAGCCCCCCCCAAACCCCATTCACACCCACCCACTCAAGGATGCTCCACGGGGCCGAGATGCCCCAAACCCCAAACCCCCAAACCCCCCAGCTCAGCCAACACGGGCATCACACCCCGACCCCAAACCCCTCTCTCCACACCCCACAAGGATGCTCCATGGGGGCAGGCACACCCTTTGCATCCCCCACACCCCATATCCCAAAAAGACCCTTTCAGCCCCTCCCCATGGCAATGGGACCCCCCCAACCCCACATTTTTAAAGCCGGATTCCCCCCCGCATCCCCTTGCGGCAGCCGGCGTGCGCCCCACGGACCCCGGTGCCCTCCCTCTGGCCCGGGCCATCGCGGAGGAGGCTCCGGGGGAGGTGACGTTGGTTGGGGTCTACGCTCACTGCGGGAACACCTACGGCTGCAGCGGCGTGCCCGCCATCCAGGCCATCGCCAGGGCCACCACCGCCGCCGTCCTCAACTTCGTGGCCGCGTGAGTCCTTGTCCCAACCCCCCCCCAAACAGCCCCTAATCTCCCACCCTCTTGGCCGGCTCCGATCCCATAAAAAACCCCAGCCCCGAGAGGGCCCCGGCTGTAAATGCAAATCGCCCTCTTCCTGCCGGTGCCATAAACCAAAACCCCACAAAGCCCCCGGCGCCCCGGGAGCCGGACGAGGATGCCCCGGCCCCCTTTGAAGTGGGCTCTGTGTGTCCCCCCCCCCCTATTGTCCCCGGGGAAGGGACGAGGGGGATTTCGCATCCCGGAGCGAATTGCAGCCGGATGCCTCTCGCTGCCCCGGGAGGTCAGCGGGGTCCCCGAGGAGCACGACAACGGGGACGTGCTGCAGCCCAAAAAGCCCCAAAATGCCCCAAAATACCCTCCAGGGGGGTGTGGGAGTGGGGAGGGGTCCCATTGAGGAACCCATTGTGCCCCCACTTTTCCAGGGGGTCCTGGGCACAACTGGGGGGGCTGTGGCGCATGGGGTGGAGAAGGCACAAAAAAAAGGGGGCAAATGGAGCATTTTGGGGGGAACCTGCCTGATTTGGGCAGCTTTTGCACATCTGGAGGGCACCTCAAAACTCACCAGCGCATCCCATAAAATTTTGGGGGTGCCCGGGCACATCTGGATGCCCCCTTTGCACATCCTGGGGGGCTCCCCAAATGCACCAAGGTCCCCTTTTGCGCTCGTGTTTTGCCCCGCTGGGGACCCCGCGGCACCCATGGGTGCCGCACCCACCACCACCCCACGGTTCCCTAGGGTGGGGGGGACATCCCCCTTTCGGCCATACCCAGGGGGGTGGTGACAACCCCTCCCGTGCCCCCAGGCTGCGCCAGGCCGGCGTGCCGTGCCCCCAAGCCAGCATCGGCTCCACTCCATCCTGCAGCCACCCGGTGCCCGAAATGTCCGAGCTCACCGAGGTGCACCCGGGCAACTACATCTTCTACGGTGCGTCCTACTACATCCCCCACCTCCCCCAGCACCCCGCATTTTTTGGGATCCCCTAATCCCCCCTGCGCCCTCTCCCCAGACCTCCAGCAGACGCTGCTGGGTTCGTGCCAACCCCAAGACGTGGCCATCCGCGTCCTCACCCGGGTGATCGGGCACTACCCGCACCGCAACCAGCTGCTGCTGGACTGCGGCTGGGCGGCGCTTTCCCTGCACGGGGGGGCGCAGACCCCCGCCGGCTGCGCCACCGTCGAGGGACACCCCCAGCTCCGGTGAGTTTTGGGGACGCCGGGGGATTAGGGATTTCATTAGGGTGACGGCACGGGGAGCTGACGGCGCGGCCCCGTAGGTTGGCGGGGTTGACGCAGGAGCACGGGTTGCTGGAGCCCGTCGGGGGGCGGATGGATTTCGGGAGGTTCCCGGTGGGCACCGTGCTGGCCCTCGTCCCTTTCCACGTGAGTAGGGTCCCCACCCCGCTGTCCCCACCCCGTTGTCCCCCCACCCCGTTGTCCCCTCCTCTGGGTGTGTGTATGGCACCTCCTCTCGCCCCGCAGGCCTGCGCCACAGCTGCCATGCACCCGGTGTACTACGCGCACGAGGAGGGCGAGGTGGTGGCCCTATGGCACCCGGTGCGCGGCTGGTAGGGGGCGTCCCGGTGCCGGGGTCCTGAACCGTGCGGGGTTCCTGCGCCCACCCCAAAGTCCTGCAGCCACCCCGAGGTCCTGCAGCCACGCTGAGACCCCATAGCTGCACTTAGACCCCGTATCCACACCAAGATCCCATATCCACACCAAGATCCCATATCCACACCAAGACCCTGAACCTACACCAAGACCCCACACTAAGACCTCTGTACCCACACTAAGACCCCAAACCTACACTAAGACCCCAAGACCCCAAACCTACACTAAGACCCCACACCAAGACCCCGTACCCACACCAAGACCCCGTACCCACACTAAGACCCCAAACTAAGACCCCTGTACCCACACTAAGACCCCAAACCTACACTAAGACCCCACACTAAGACCCCTATACGCACACTAAGACCCTGTACCCACACCAAGACCCCATACCCACACCAAGACCCCATATCCACACCAAGACCCCAAACTAAGACCCCAAACCTACACTAAGACCCCAAACTTACACTAAGACCCCAAACCTACACCAAGACCCACACTAAGACCCCAAACCTACACTAAGACCCCAAACTAAGACCCCAAACCTACCCCAAGACCCCAAACCTACACTAAGACCCCAAACCTACACTAAGACCCCAAACTAAGACCCCAAACCTACCCCAAGACCCCAAACCTACCCCAAGACCCCAAACCTACACTAAGACCCCAAACCTACACTAAGGCCCCACACTAAGACCCCAAACCTACACCAAGACCCCACACTAAGACCCCAAACCTACACTAAGACCCTGCACCCACACCCAAGTCCCGCACCCCACGCCACCCAGGAGGGGTCAATAAAGCTCCTCTCCCCCTCTGCAGGCACTCTGGGCTCTTGGGGTGAAACCCAGCGGTTTTGGGGCACAGCCAGGGCCGGGTGATGTCAGCTGGCTCATCCCAATCCGGCCGCCCCATGGGAAGCGCCCGGCCTGGGATGGGGGTGTGGGGTGGGGATGGGGTCCTGGGGACACGGTGGGAGTGGGGTGGGTGAAATGGGGTGGCCTGAGTAGCCACGCACCCCTACACACGGCCCTACACACACACGGCCCTACACACAGCCCTACACACGGCCCTACACACACACAGCCCTACACACGGCCCTACACACACACAGCCCTACACACAGCCCTACACACAGCCCTACACACACATGGCCCTACACACAGCCCTACACACACCTCTACACACACACGGCCCTACACACCCCTATATGTACCCCTATACACACCTATCCCTACACACACCCCTATTTGTACAACTACACCCACACCTACACCTACACCCCGCACACCCCTATACTTACTCCATACGTACATACTCCATATGTACCTATACCTACACCTACACACACCTACACCTACTCGCACACCCTATGTACACCCATGCTCACCCCTACACGCACACCTATACACACACCTATGCCTACCTACACCACACATACACCTATACGTATACCTACACGTACACCTATACCTAGCCCTACACATACCACTTGTACAGCCGTACCTATCCCTACACACATCATACAAACACCTACACGTGCACCTACACACTCTGTGCATACACCTACCCCTACACACACCATACATACACCTACACGTATCTCTGCACACACGATACGTACAGCTACCCCTACACACACCATACATACACCTACACCCACCTCTGCACACACAACACATATACCTGTACCTACCCCTACACATGCCATATGTACACCTACACGTACACCTCTACCTACCCCTACACACGCCGTATGTACAACTACATATACACCTCTACCTACCCCTACACACACCATACATACACCTATCCCTACACACACCATACCTACACCTACCCCTACACACACCATACATACACCTACACGTACCCCTACACACACCATATGTACACCTACCCCTACCTACACCA